TTTTTTTTGGCTAAAACAAACTCTGAGCCCCTCACCTTACAAAGTTGTAGGTTTTAGTTCTTAACCTTATAATATGACATTTCTAACCCTTTACTTTACAAAATTGGTAAATTTTAACCCCTCACCTTATATTATGACATTTTTAGTCTCTTATTTATACGAATTAAAGAAAATAGCCTTTATTTAACATTAGGTTATAATATTCTATTAGCTGACTATCAATTCTATTAACTAACTATTAGTTCTGTTAGCTGACTATTATTTCTATTAGTTGACTGTTAGCATCCGTTAGCATTCTGTTAATGGAATTAATAAATAAAATTGAATTAAAGTTTCATATTTTTTATAACGAAATGCTAACGGATGTTAACAGTCAACTAAAAAAACTAACAGAACATTATAACCTTATGTTAGGTGAGGGCTATTTTCTTTAATTCGTAACAATGAAGGGTTAAAAATATCATAATATAAGGTAAAGAGTTAAAATCTATTAATTTTGTAAGGTAAGTGATTAAAATTTACCAATTTTATAAGATGAAAAACTAAAACTGTCCATGTTATAAGGTAAAGGCTCAATATTAGTTTTTGCCAGATTCCCAGCCTTGATCCTAAGACTTTTTTTCTTGTTTAAATGATAAGATATTCAATTTTAGGTGGTTAGCCTTATACTCTTTTTTCCCCCTAAATTTTTTAGGTTCAAGGTGGACTTTTTTTTTTTGAACAGTACCTGAAAAGGTAGACGTTTGGGTTTAGAAGGTTTTGCCCCTGCTCTATACGTCAATGTCGTTGTACTACTACACCAGACCCTCATCTGACAGATATTAATTATCAAGTTCTTATACCACAACATGAAAATTTAGGACGACTTCAAATGTCTAGAAGTTAGAATTAATGGAACTCCACTGGCCAGATGAGTAGTATGTCTTGTTGGGAAAAGTGAGATATTCATCATATTTGAGAATTGAATTTTTAATTATTAATAATTAATAAAATTAAGTTATTAACAACTAATAAAATTAAGTTATTAACCATTAATAAAACTAACTTATTAATCATTGTTTTTGTCAAAAGAAGAAGAAGTTAGAATTAATGCAGAACAAGTGATGTGTAAAATAATTGGAATTGAAAAAGAAGAAGTTAGAATTAATGCAGAACAAGTAATGTGTAAAATAATTGGAATTGAAAGACATTGAAGCATTACCAAATGCAAACAAAAAATTCAATTGAACAAATTTAATGTATAATTATAGTTAAACCACTTAAGTCATTTAATTTAATACAATACCCATAATTTACAAAAACTTCTTCAACCGATAATACAATCGATTAAAAATTTAAAATTCTAATTTTAAATTCAAACATTGAGCAGGATATTTATTTATTTTTCTTTATATCTCACCATCAAATATACCAAAAAAAAAAAAAATTCTCCCCTATTTGGAAATTGAGAAATAAATTAATAATCCCGGATAACACTGGAAACTTAGAAAATAGATTATCCTCCTTTTATCCCCTTCTCAACCGCCAAAGAAATAGAAAATCAAATATTTTCAGTAGGGAAACGTGGCTTGGATCCGATGCTTTCTCTTTTGAAGAAATCTCTGCAGCGATCTCTTCATAGAAAGTGCGGTCGCCGGACTGTAGACCTCAGAAGGCACCGTCGGTGAGGCCGGTTCCGATGCGGTTGGAGTCTTCAAGTTCATTTTCTCCTCCATTATTTCTCGAGTTGCCATTGATAAAATAGCTCTCGCCTGCACATTTCATACACAACTCTTGCTAAATAAGCTTCATTCTAACTGGACAATCTGCAATAACTAAGTACTAACTTCTTTACAGATTGAAAAGACTTGTTAAATACCTGAATCTCCGTGACATCACAGACGCAAACCTTTCCGTTGTAGAAAATTGTCAACTGTTGCTGTTGGCTTTCTGGGCTCTTGCTAGTCTCTTCCATCCTTCAATTACATAACCAATCACTCAATCAGCAAAAATCGAAAATTTATAACAAAACCAACCTACAATATAATTTGCATAACACAAACTCAACCTAAAATCTCTAATTTGCAGGATTTCTGCTTTATAAGTACTATTTGAAGGCCGAACACAAACAAAAGCTCGAAGAAAGAAGAAGGGAAAAAGAGAGAGTACCAGTTGCGGTGATGGTCGCCGGCATCAATGGAGGGAAGCAGCCGGAGCTCCAAATTGCAGTTTCTTCTTCTCATCTTTTCTTCCAAATCAACACTAAAATCAGAATAGAGAATTTGGGGGGAAGTGAAGAAGAAGATAAGTTATATATAAAGGTGGGCACTGGACAGTGGGGCTCATATGTTTGAATAATGGAACACGCAACGCATACGAAACGGACGCAAAAGCGGAAGCAATTAAAAGCATAATATGCATGTGTAAAATGCATGCGTTGCATTCCCCCATACCAACCAAACCAGTACCTTTCAATTTTTTACACAACTTGCCCTCTGGTTTTTTGTCTTCGTTGCGCTGTCTTTTTATTTTTATTTTTATTTCCCCTTTCGTACTCCCATTTATTTATGCACCGGCGGCCGTCGACGTTGGGTTTTTTTTTTCTTTTTTTTTTTTTCCATTAGAGTTGGAAACAAAAACATTAAATGCTTATTTTAATTCCTAACTTTAAAATCATGCACATTTGTGGTTAACGCACAAACACATTTATCGTGCTTGATTTGCCAGGTTCCTTGGAATTGAAAGCTAGCAAACCAAACAGGCAACTAAGGCAACGGGGTAAAAAATCAGTACATTCAAAGAAACAACAATGCTGTAAACCATTGAATAAAGGATGATCAATC